TGAATGGGCGGACGGCTACTCGAAGCGGTCCGGCCGCTCCACTGCAGCCGGCAGCCCCTCCTCGAGGCCACGCCTCCCACCTCGCCTGCCTGCCCTCCCCATAGGTTCGGGCTCTATTACGTGAACTACACGACGCAGCAGAGGACGCCGAAGAAGGCGGCCGCCTGGTGGAAAGAGACGCGGAGCGCATGCTAAACTACGTCCCTTAGCAGCGCGTCCACGCCTGGTCTTCCGCACGCGTAAACGTGTTTGAATTCTTTTGCTCCTGTGGTGCGGGCGAAGGCTTCTGAGGAAGCCGTCGCCCGCGCCTCGCCTGTCGCGCGAATCGTGCTGTGCGACCGCCTTTCTAAAAAAAAATCCACAACGACAGCGCCGAAGCGCCGTCCTTCGGCTTCGCTGGGTGTGTGGTGGGTGGAAGGAGCTCTAGAGGAGAGGCCCGGCCGGCCTTGAGCGTTGAGGGAGTCGCGGAGGAGGAGGGATAAGGGGATAACGCCCAGGCAGCGCAGCTAGGGTAGGGACGGGCCAACAGCCAGTGGGACGAACGAGGGCCGCGACGGCGGCTCAAGCGGGAGGGAGCGGAGACAGTGGGCAGCGAGCGAAGTGGGTGGAGACTGATGATGCTCCTTCGACTTAGGGAGCGGTTCAGCTGCTGGGCGGGCTTCAGGGTGGTGCTCACGCGAAAAGGAATCGACGCGATGTACAAAGCATACAGGAAGAGGAGAAAGAAGAGGAGGGACACCAGTGAGGACGAAACAGAAACTAGCGCAGACGAGAGCAGGGCAGACCCGGGGACTGGGGAGCCGGAGCAGACGGCATCGGCCGCCGAGGGAACGTTGGGAAGAGCCACGAGGAGGGCGGCGACCTCGACCGACTATGGAGGACCCGTCGCCAGACGACGCAGGGCAGACGACGGGGAGGCGGAGCGGACGCGCAGGGCGAGACGAGGGAGGGAGCAGGAATTTGCGGAGATCAGCAGGAGGATGTACGAAGAGATTAGGAGCAGCAGGGACCCGAGGGACCATGTGGAAGACGGCTAGTGCTAGTCCCCCATCGGGAGAGGACGACCCCGGGGCTAGTCGCCGACCACACCCACAAAGAACCCTGCACAAAGATCGCACGGGCGGGGACCTGTTCCTTTTTACCCATCTCACAGTAGAGGTGTCCGTTTTTATTTATTGGATATTGCCGAGCGAAACCTTTTCCTTCGAAGCTCAGCGTCGTAGCCGGGCGAGCGGGAATAGGGCAGTCTAGAGAGCACCTTGGAGGCCGTTCAATAGAGCCCGTACTATAGTCGACAGTCGCTCGCCGGCCGGCGCAGTGCTGCTCTGACCGCTCCGCCGGGCCCCCTCCGGGCCGCCGCGGGGAGACGTGCACATAGGCAAGTTGGTATTTTCATATATGAACTTGAAAATAGTATTGGCTAGTCTAATCCTACTCATCACAACTCGCCAGGAACACCCCCACACTATAGGGTCATTGTGTAGCCCTGCTTAGAAGGAAAAGGTTTACTGCAACGTCCGTATGGCTCACCGTGTAGTCGGCCGCTCGGCCCCCAAATCCCATCTCGTCTCAGAGTTTGAGTGTTTTATTTATTTCCTTGGGAAGTTGTGCTGACCTCCGTTCACCTCCTGTTCTCCTATGCCACGTGGCTGTGTGTGTTTGGGTTTCTATGTTGCGATTTGGATTTTGGATCGCGTCCCGCATTTGTTTATTTATTTAGCGTTCGGCGCGCCCTTCTGTCTGGTATAGCCCCAGCCGACTCCGCGTGAACTCTCGAGGGATCTCGAGTTGCGGAGCTCGGTGAACGAACTCTGTTCACAGATAGGTGATCTGTGATCTGTAAGGGTCCGCCCGCAGGCGCATTTTGTATACCGAGGCGGTGCCCGGTGCCGAACCTGTCGGACCTTAAGACAGCATTGTAGATCCCTGGGCGAGGGTGGTGGAGTTCACAGATAGGTTGATAAGAAACAAGAAGCTCACATCGCACAGACAGTGAAACAAAGAGACAGTGAGGGTGTGAGAGGCGGACCTAAGGAAGGTCCTACATCTCTTTACGACCCCTGACCGAGCTCCCGCTCGACAGAGTTCACAGATAGGTTGATAAGAAACAAGAAGCTCACATCGCACAGACAGAGAGAGAGATTTTTAGCAATACCTTAATGTGATGTTACAGGTGGGTTAAGAGGGAGATGTGCGCGAGCAATACCAAACAACTCTAACACTCACACGTAATTTGGGGCCTGGAGCCCTGTTCACGCGCGCGCGAGACGTGCAGACAGTGAGAGGCGGACCTAAGGAAGGTCCTACATCTTCACACGAGCAGCTAGCTGGGAGTGGCTGCGGCTATAGCAGACAGCGCGCCCTTAACATTGCTCAATGATCGCCGGCCTGCTGCAGTATCTCCTCCTCGCTCATGCAATGGTGGTCGGTAGCGTGCAGCTCCTCACTCGAGACAACTGGCATGAGCACATCACGGGCCGTCATGACTGGTTCATCATGTTCTCGCAGCAAGGGTGCCTCGATCCGCAGCCGCACTCCCTCCGCCGCGGACCGTAATATCCACCCTTGCGTGTTCCTAGGTGTCCTCACTGCAAGCGGCTCGAGCCCATGTGGGAGGCGATGGAAACGCGGCTGGGCGCGGCGGGCGAGGGCGTGCGAGTCGGCCGCGTCAACGTGTCAACCGACAATGGTATCGCGCTGACGTTCGATGTGGAGCGCTTTCCGACGCTGCTGCTCCTGTCCGCGGACGGCCGCGCCTACGAGTTCCAGGAGCGGCGGCGGAGCCTCCCGCTGCTGTCGGCCTTCGCCACCGGCGGCTACCGAAATCAGCTCTCTAGTCTGGCCGTGCCGACCACGCTGAGGCCAAACGAGCCACAGTGGTGGCTGCTGCTGCGTTCGCTCTGGAAGCCGCTCAAGCAGACGGTCGTCGTCGCCTTTTCCATCGCCGCCTGCCTCGCTGGCGGCATCAAGCTTCTCATCTACGCCTGCGGGATTCGAGTGCCGGAGGAGGCGGCGGAGGGCGAGGCGACGAACAAGAAGAAGGCCGGCTGAGATCCGAAACTGGGGAGCGGTGAGTTATCTTCTTTTTTGCTTCAGCACAAGCCACAACACACAAAACGCACACACAAGTCGAGGTGAGCACACGGCACACCGCCTGGCCTCTCAGAGTCGCTCTCACGCCGCGGGGCGCACAAAAAAGCGCCTGTGCCGCTGTGCGGCGGTCAATCGACGGATCTCGCTCTCGTTTCTCACACATAGCACTATCACGGACAGGAGCCGCGCGGGACGGTGACGCTTGGGGCTCATCGCACCGCTCTCGCTCCCCGCCCTTCCCCTGCGGAGCTGACCTAAAGGCCGAGAAACTCCTCTTTCTGGTGGGTCAAGACTTTGGCATCGGTCGTGGCGTATGCCGTGCAGAGCAGGCGCCAGCCTTCTTCCAGCTGATCCTCGTCCAAAAAGGCTGCGTCCGAATTGTCGACGTCACCCTCGATCACCTAAAGGGCGGAGGCGGCAGAGGTGGCGGTGGAGACGAAGTGGGGAGTGGGGCTGATGGCGGAGGAGGTGAGGGCGGAGGCGACAGGCGGTGGAGATAAGTATCACCTTGCCGATGCACTCGCAGCACGCTCCGGCGCGGCAGGAGTAGGGCAGCTCGATGCCCTTCTCCTCAGCCCGGTCGAGGATGTACTCGTCCTCCGGCACTCCAAGCACTCGCTCGCTGCCGTCAGGCGCAACAAAGGTGACAGAAAAGGACTCAGCCATAACGAGGCGCGACGATGAGATGCGCGCAGCCGGTCTGGCAGTGGGAACGAACGCGTCTCCGCCAAGGGCGAGAATCGTGCACATGATGTGTCGCGTGGGGGGATGGCAATTTGAGCCGAGCTCCGATCGGTGATGAGGTCTCGTTTCATGTATGTGCAGGTGTATTTTATTTTTGCTTGGCCGGGCATCATGACGGGGTAGGTAGGGTAGGGTCTGGGCCCTGCCCTCGGGTTTTTCCCTCTCTCACGCCGGAATTTTCACCGCAGAAAAAAAAGAATTTTTCCGCGCAAATCACGATGTCAACCCTCCCCAAGAGAACGACGCGACAGAGGAGGAAGTGACAAGGGAGAGACCGACGAGAGTGGGACGGCCGCGAGGTGGCATGAAGGTTGCAGCGAGAAGCGGCGAGAGACTGCGAAAAGAGATACGAAGAGGCAGACTCCCCAGGGTGGGCGACGGCTAGCGCATCACACTCCTCTCCTTAAAATCCCTGTGTGGTGGCGGCGTGCCGTTCTCCCATCCCTCCCTTGGGTTGTGTGTTTTCTTTCTTTCTTTTTACCCTCCCCAAGTCGTTGATCTGGTGCTTGTAGGGCTTGAGAGTGGCCTGCCATGTCACAGGAAGGACTGTGGTTGCAGTATAGTACCACCAGCCATCACTTTAGTTGGTACAGTACCCCTCGTTGTCAGATGCAGCTGTCCCGTTCCGGTGTTTTCTTTTCGTTCGCCCTTGAGACCATAAAAGAATTTTACAATCCCACTCTCTCTCTCACACAGAGACCCAGGCTGACACAACCTGCAAAACAAAAGAATCTTACAACAAAACTCCCTCGCACAACACTGGGCACGGGACAAAAGAAAAATCACCGCGCGTCAGGCTACGACATGTTCGGACCCGCCCCCTCGCGGCCCTCGAAGCGCTCCTCGTCCCACGCGATCAGGTAGCCCAGCCGCATCACCTCGACCGCGTTTACAAGGACATGTTCGTGTTGGCCATCTGCGTTAGCAGTCTCGTTCGCCGTACCTTTACGCTGAAGCGCCTCACGTTCCAAACTGGCGCCCGTGGATGCACCGCGTGCGCCACTGGGACGGAGGCGCTGCTCACATCGCTGAGGGCTTGTGGAAAGCGTGGCCGCTGGCGGACGGCGCTCGAGCTGGTCGAGGAGCTCGAGCAGCGCTGCGGCGGTGCCGCGGGCGTCACTGTTCCACCGGGCGCCTGGCGTGACGCGCTGCTCGCGTGCCGAAAGCACAAGAGGACGGAGGAGGTGGCGGGCCTAGTCGTTCGGATGGGCGAGCGTGCAGACACCTCCGCGTGCAACGAGCTCCTCCAGTGCGCCCGGTTGAGCGGCGACTATCGCCTCGCTCTCTCCCTCTGGCGCGCCATGTGCGG